AAACCACCTAGATATTATGAAAAGCCTAATCAGGACAAGGGTTACGAATAGAATTTCCAAACGTTTTTCTATTAAGTACGGTCGTTTTCAGTTGAAAGATGTAATTTGCGTCTGTGGACACTATTATGGCGTTGGGAATGATTTAAGTATTCTTTCTTTATAACGTAGTATTATGGTCATTGTAGAATTCTATACTTGAGTGTATGGCAAAAGTCATACATTTGTATCTTAGTCAACATTATGTCTATTAATATATGTTTATGTTTATGGACTACTTCGTGTTATCTATTGAAATCGAATTTTTCTGTTTTTTTTTCTTTTTCCGTTATTTTGATATTCTAGCTACTACTATCGTTTGTTTCGTAATAAATAATTCAGCTAAGGTCACAAATGGTGTCTTTTTCGGTAGATGATGACTGTACTAATCAGCAACTAAATTGATCCAATATTCCTATTGAGAAAATTGAAAGTACACTGCGTTATTATCATTTATTATTTTATACTTCGATTGTTGCTAATCTAACATGATAATATAAAAGAATTGTTTTAGCACAATTAAGCTTATTTCAACCAATATTAAATTCGATTTTCTGAATAAATAAATTGTTGCTTCATGAAATGATTAATTTAGTGTCTTATCTTCTTTTCAAGTGAATGACCATGAATATCGAAAAAATTTGTTTTTTCTCGCAAGATCTTCAATCAATTCCACATTAATCATTTTGATATACTGGGTCGGAATAATGATTCATATTGACGAGTACTTTGGTTGGAACTGGTCGTATTTGGACCCTAGTGCAACGGATATCGTTGAAAAGAAGATAAACAGTGTAGCAAGTTACTTTCAGCAGTGAGTTGTTGATCGTGTTAATTCGTAAAAGGAATATTTTTTTCGTATTATCAATTTCATAATTTGTTTTCATTGATGCGTGTCAAATGAATAGTATGGGGTAACTGGAAAAAAATACATCGAAACTTCTTAGGGTTAAAATGAAAACTACACGGTGTTATTTTCATTCAGTGAGAAATAAAATGAATCCTTAGCATTAAAAGATATTCAATCATTTCAGATATTATCTTTCGGAATCATTCTCATTAATTTATTTTTCTTTTAATCGAAAAAAGTATCTTTGTATGTTAGTGAACAAATCCTGAATTTGTTCTTCTCTTATTCCTGGTATAACGTCTATAAATAGGTAACCTTGCGCGTAAGGAAGACAAAATGTTCTGTTTCCTATGATAGATATATCGAAAAGAGACAGACCTGCCTCCTTCACCCGCTATCTCTGACTTGTTGATTACGCCGTGGAATATCGATATATAAATATACATCTGGATGCGTCTTCTCTATAATCGAGGGTATTACGTGCATATTTTCCATTGCGTTGTTGTGGAAATGCGGATAGTATATAAGCAATGTTGTCTGAGAGTATACACGACACTAACGAGACAAAAGAGAAATCGTAATAACTAGTTATTCGAGATAATTCATCCTCTTCTTAACAAGCAACTACCGACAATCAATCAAACAAACAAATAATGAGTTCAGCAGAACAAAGTAAATATTCTAGAGATAATTCTTTTGCATACGATTGATAATTATTGTTAATAGAAGAGAAGACAGCGTTCGCCGCTGTTCTCGCCGAGGCTCATATAGGTGGTTATGAGACACCATACAATGATCCACGCAAGCAAGCGGATAGAGAAAATATAGGTTGGCTTTCTGGTGATCAATTTACGATTGCTGAAACTCCTGTCGCTCATCTTAATGCAACACCCGGAACCAAAGAATAAAACATTCTGTCATGGAATGAATAACTCTTTATTTTTTATATAAATAAGTGTTTTTACTTGTATGCATCTTCAAGCATTTTCTATACGAAATAAATCTTATCTGTTAATCGAATTTCGTATGTACTTTCTTGTATTGAATATTTTGCATATTTTATGGATCGATAAAAAAATGGTATTAAAATCGATTTTTCTTCTGGTGGAAAGAAAAGATGAAAAAAGAAAAAGTAAAAATTCGGATATATATTTTATATTGAATTCAAACACTTTTTAATCAATTTTTGAGCTTATCCTCATATATGAAATGTTCGCAAGCAATATCAAGATAATTAATATTACGTCACCAAGAAAACATCTGGAAATATCAGATGTCATTAAGAGCGAGATAAGGTTAAAAGAACTCAGGTCCACGACTGACTCTTGATCAGTTCAGGCTGTTACAGTGAAATCTTGATTAAGGTAGATTCATTTCTCAAAAGATCAAAAACAGAGAACTTTTACTGAATTTTTATCTACAAGCTAATTTAATAGATATTCGTTAGTTCTAAAGTTTCAAATTAAGTGAACACGTCCTTTTGGAGATATTCAATTTCCGTAAAAAAGCATGTTTTGCCTTTGGAAGACACAGTAATGGAGTCTAGTTGAAAATCAAATATCTCGAAAAACATGTGTTCGCTTAATTTGAAACTTGATAACTATCGAATAACTAATAAATTAGCTTATAGATAAAAATTCAGATAAATATTCTGTGTTTTTCGTCTTTGAGAAATGCATCTATCTTAATGAGAGTTTCACTGCGACAGCCTGAGCTGATCAGCAGTCGATCGTGGGGCTGACTTCTTTTAACCTTTTCTCGCTGTCATAGGCATCCACTCTTGGAGATAATGTGAAGTCGAATGATATGAGATAGCTGCATATGTTTCCTTGTCTGGGTAGTATTCATTTCTTCATGTCACTTGGAAACATTTCATATATGATGATAAAGTCAATAATTGTCGTGGATATGACTGGCTGTGACTATGGGTGTAGTTGTGGGTTGGCGTGTGGGTTTTGTGCATATAGATGTGGTTGTTGAATCAATAATAAGATCACACGCACTGATGCATCCGGGCACTTTTAGGTTCAAATAAATTTTTTCATCTGTACGTATTGATAAATTAGTTTCCTTCGTTACTTTTTTCAAACTTCTGCATGCAATGGATATACACTTACGTTATACATGGCCGCAAACACTGGAGAGAAGCCGAATAAGACATTATATGCTCGTTGATTAAATATTACTAGTAGTGTCAGAGAAAAAATATGATCTCATAGACAGAGTAAATAGAAATGGTTCGATGACATTCAATCACAATTAGTCGTACGATTCAAAAATAGCTATTATAGTGCTACGATTAAATCTGAATCGAATTATCGTGAATGGATAAAGTTATTTTAATCGGCATTAATTTCATTAATGATTGGTATATGTAGAAGAGTTATTACAGTTTCACAGCAAAAAATTTCTATGCAACAACAAGAACAAGGTCGAGAAGATGCAATGCTTTGAAGACAACAATTAGAAGGTGAAGGAGAAAATTTACAAAAAGAAACTGTATTTGCAACAGATCTCGATGGTGTTTCGAAACGTTTATTATTAGAAAACCAAACAACAAGTTTGGTCGAGATTCGTATGAAAATATTGACAACTCTTCGGCAGTTGAATCCAGAGAAGAAAAAATATTTATTGTTGTTTTTGTTTATGAGAGCGAATTGATGTATCATTATCCGCTACGGCCATATGCATTTTTATTGAAATTGACTGATGCAGAATTAAATAGAATTTATTTTAAAGAAACTCTTGAAACTAAATGTTCATTTTCACGTTTTAATTTATATGGTGCTTATTTATCGAATTCATAATTTATTGACTGTTACATTGATCGTTCGAATTTTTCAAGTTCAACTATGTATAAGATATTATTTTTCAGTACACTTTTGATACGAACATGATTAAAATTCACGTTTTTGGATAAAACTAATTTCATTAATAAAAAGTTTTGCTATGCGTATTTTTTAGGAGCATCATTGATAGAATGTGATTTTATTGGTGCCCTTTGAGCTAAAAATACAATCGATTTTACAAATGCAAATCTATCAAGAACAATTATATACAACGAACACTTGAGTAATTCTACATTATATAATAGTGTGGTGAGATGTCAAAAAGTCGAAAGCAAAATGTCGACAAGAATGTCGATAAGAAAAATATTCACTTAAGAAGATCTAGAAACTGCTATTTTAATGCATAGCAATGACACGTCATGGCCTGGTGCATTTTCTTCTCTTTGTTTTCTCCCTTTGTGCGTGGTGGTCTGAGTATAGAATTCATGAAGAATTTTGTCTTTCTCTCTCGCCTATATAAACTATCGATTTTCTCTATCGACCGTCATTTGTGTGCACATCGTCGTACCAGTACAGCCAACACTTTATTTTACTTCACCTACCTAGTGTGATATCGTCTTATATCTTTATTATGTCAACCACTCCCGCTATCAAATTTTCGACTAGCAATAAACGTAAATCAATTTTAATTTCTGATGGGTTTATCTTTCCACTGAACAAAACTCTTCCAAAGATCAAGTATATTGGCGTTGTAAGGATCGAATGTGCTCGGCTTATATACATACCGATCAAAATGATCAGTATCTTGGTAAATCAGGTGATCATAATTGTCATTTACCAGTGCCGGAAACAATTGAACTGAGTATCTTTAAAGAGAAGGTAAAAGAACGGATTGTAAAAGAGACGGTTGCAATCGGAAAAATTTATGATAATGAGTTGGCTTCAGCTACTCTTAGTGAAGCTGCTCTTGCACTTGCTTCATTGCCAAATGAGGCTAGTTAGTATCCTTACTTCTTAACTTCTCTTATATTCATTTTATTTATATTGTAGAATCATCACTCAATCGTCTAAGACGACAAAAAACACCACCATTACCGAAATCATCTATTTTTAACGTACCCGATGCCTACTCAATTATAACTAATGGTGCATCATTTCTCTTTAGCGATATATTAGTTCGCAAAAAGAGAGTAATCTTGTTTTGCTACCGACGAACAATTACGTATGCTTTTTTCAGCGACACATATTATGATGGATGGTACGTTTTCCGCTTGTGTACCACACTTCGATCAAGTTTTCTCTTTGCATTGCATGAAGTTCGGATATAGTAAGTCATCCGTATAGTTTACAAAAAGGTTATTTGGTCATTAACTGTTGTTTTTAGATTATCCATGCGTTATTGGTTTACTTCCAGGTCGCACTGTTCCGATCTACAAACATGTCTTCAACTTGTTAGACGCTGCTGCACAAAGTCTCAATCTCAAATTTGAACCGGAACACATTATGTCAGATTTTGAAAAAGCTCTCATCAAAACAATTGCTTCACATATAAACGAAATCTCATTCTCTTTTCGATCTTATTATATTTATGCTTCTGTTTCAGTTTCCGGCTGCCCAGCATTCTGGGTGTTTTTTCACTAAACCCAGTGTCTGTTTCGTCATATTCAGACACTGGGCCTGAGCACGCTGTATAATGAAAACAATGAAATTAGATCGCTGTGCAGACACTTAATGACTTTACCATTATTGCCGGTGAAAGACGTGGAACAAGCTTATCAAGAACTCAATGAACAAAGACCGGTGGAATTAGAACCACTCTTCGAATATTTTGAAGGATGGTGGATGAAACAAGTACCTATTCATTTATGAAACGTATCTGATCTAAAATCAAAAACTAACAACAACGTGGAAAGTATGATTCATTTCTTTATTTTATGTTAAATAACTTTCTTTGTCTCATTGCAGCTTGGCATTCCAGATTCAACAAGATAATCGAAAAGAAACATCCAAATGTATGGGCATTTATCAACTTACTGAAAGATGAAGAAGTCCATTTTCAACAACTGCTTATACATACCAATTCCGGCAAGTTGAAAAAAGATTCACAAAAAACATGTGTAATGCAAAATAAACTCAATCAATTACGAAAACGTTACGGCGATGGAATAATTCAATTATCTGAATATCATTATCAGTTATCATTATTAGTCGGTATGAAATCACAATAATTTCAACATATGATATATCGACACACAACAGAAAGAAATGATTGACATCAATTTTCTCCATATCCATATATGCTCTTTTTTTCATTCACGTGTATTAAAATTTAACTGAATAAATAGCATATAAATTAATAATGGTTCTATTTTACTTTATTCAATTTTCGACATTTTGTCTTTCGACACTTGTGTTCTATCCAATGGAACATGGGAACCTGTTTGAACGAATAATCTAGTCGTGAACTGCGATGCCAAGCAAAATGTAAGTTTAAATTTGATTTTTTTCACTTGATAATAAAGCAGTCGTTCAGCTCGTCTAAAATTTGTATTGTATTTCCTTTCCCCACAAAAGTTATTATCACTCAATAAATATCCATAATATATTAATATTGCATTTTAAAGTTACTCTATCTACACATAAGTGCCTACTAATTACATTGTCAAAGAATTGCGTATGCTATTTAAAAGTAGAGAAATGCACTTGCATTAATACGTTGTTGCTCTTATTTTTCTCTGGAGTTCAACGAAGAGGATAAAGGTTAAATCGATTTTTCATTATTGAAAGATGAAATAGATGCAACAATCTGAATTAACCCTATATAATTATTCCGTTGGTGTCATAACCCTATCACGATGAAAATTGAGTAATAATACAAATTTAAAATGTTTTGACCAGGTACAGATGCCTTTTATAATTTCGTAAGAAAGAATATTGTTTTCATGCCTATTGCAGAACAGAATGAACAGATAAAAATTCAAAGTCTCAAGAGATTATTATGGTTTTATTTTTAGGTGAAGTCAATAAAAAAAAACGTAACTTCGGAATACATATAGTGCATTCTAAATCATGATTACTATTAGAAAGAAGATCAAACATTGTTGATTATGGTTAATATGTTTTTCTAATATTATTCTATTTTCTAGTGTACAAAGAATAGTCCCCACATATTGACTGGTTGGAATGTTGCAAATGGTAGAGATATAAATGTGTTTGCCTATACTAATCAAAATCAGACAGAAAATTTCTATAAATGTTATTTCCGAGCCACGTCATTCAACACATACAGAAGGATTGCATTTGTACATCAATTTGTGGTACTTGAAAGTTTCTCTCTATCGATTTCAACTCATAGTGCTCGTTGTGAAGCATCGGCTAATTTTCAATGTTTCGGCAAGCAATATGGCTCTGTTTCTCTTTTGTATCGCTTTACTTTGTTTATCTTTATTTTTAGGAACTCGCTATGGACAATATGCTCAATCTTTAAAAATTTCCGATATAGTTTATTCTGATGTTTGTAGTGTTCAAATTCTGATCATATTTATAGCTACGATAAACAGTAATGATAGTAATTCAACTATCAGCGAACACTATTGTGTATACAACAATGTGAAGTTCTCAATCATGAAATCATGATACTTACTACGAAATGACGAACAATATTAAACATATGTTCTTTCATGTTATTTTAATGAACGATCACAGTCATATTTTCAAGAATGAACTCTTTTCAATTGACGCTGCTATTTATCTTGTTTCTTGACTTGAAAGATCTATTTACGAATTTAAAATTTGATCTTTAGGTAGATGTGCTATGTTTTTCCATTAAATACTTAATAAATAATATTTTTATATTGCTAATGCATCAGTTTTGTGAAACACGATCGAAAATGAGTATTTAAGCTTAGAGCGAGAAAATTAGGCTCCTCTGCTCTCTCCTGCAGGCCGTGACAGACATGTCGCTTCCTATTATGGTTTTTCGAAACATGGTACCATGGAGTTTTAGACCGGGTTATTTTGCTTTTTTGAACCATTTAGTTTAGGATTTTAGGATTTTTAAATTCGAATCGATCTGAAATTCTGAAACTCGAAAAATCTATATTTCTCACGTAATGAGTTATGCATGTGTGTGTGGCTGGATCTGGGTATAGATGAACAGAAGCTTGACATTAATACCCAGAACCACACCCCAGCACCTATACCAACTCCGTGTTTTACATTTTAATCCCACAGAGATTACGCCAACAGTTTCTCTGTTTGGTTTAACAAAAACAATTCCGCTTATTTTACATATCGCTGTTTCGTCTGTTACAATTTGCACAAAAACTCGTTTGCTGTCGAAATTTTTTCGTGGAAAAA